CATCCATTTTCTGTACACGCTTATTCCTTTCAGGGTCACTGGTGCCCACATCCAGCAGTCACAGCTCGAGGGACGGGGTACACCCTGGACAGGTCGCAAGTTTATAAATTCAGTTTCAATTTAGTGAAATTCATTTTCAAACCAATGCATTCAATTTCAAATTATGCGAATTCTGATTCAATCTGAGAAATTCAAATTCACTTCCTGCTGGCACAAGATTTTTCCCGTACAAACCCCCCTCGTGATCACAGATTGAGTTCTGGATGACCCCCGGCTACTACCACACTGAGTTTCAGCTCATTACCTCTCAAACTGAACACTTTTGTGTCGGAGCTGTTTGGCGGCGGCCATCTTGGATGGGGAGTTTTGCTAACGGAGCATCCGGCTCGTTAAACACTTGAGGTTGAATGAAATAAATATTTTTCTGCATTTTTCAGGARACCTGTCGTCGGATTAAAGTATAAAAACACAAACAGCATGTTTGATTCTTAGTTTGAACTCAGTGCAGTTTAACCCTTTCAGAGTAAAGGTTCGAAGAYGGTGAATTAAGAAACTTTGGCAGCGATTCACATCTCAGTATTTACAGCTCAACGCAAAATTAAAAAAAAGTTTTAAAGTCGCAACAAGACGAAAACAAACGGGCTGCAGTCGCGAGGATCGTCCCTGAGGCCGGGAGCCGAAGCTCAGTCCTCATCAGGGAGAATACTGGTGCTGTCCATGTCGTCGAAGGTCCGCTTGTAGCGGACGGAGGAGGTGAAGCGGTACCGTCTCTTCTTGTAGACGATGAAGCCGACGGCTAAGAGGAGCGCGATGACGACGATGATGAAGAGACCTACAGCTACAGGGGAGCCTGAAGACTCTGAGGAGGAAACAAGTTTCAGCAAAGTTTGTTTCTGCAGTGGAGAGCACTGAATGCTACCATGCTACACAGCTTTAGCCCTGAGCAGCTAAATGCTAACATGGTGCAAAGCATCCTTACCAAGCAGCTAAATGCTAACATGCTAAAACAATTCTTCCTGATCAGGTAAATACCATCATTTATGTTCAGCTAAATGCTAACAGTACCCTTCCTGATTAGCTAAATGCTAACAGGCTACTCAGCAATAGTCTTGAGCAGGTAAGTGATAACATGCTAACAGTATCCTTCCTGATAAGGTAAATGCTAATAAGCTACACAGCCTGTGTCCTGAGCAGGTAAATACTAACATACTAACAGTATCTTTCCTGATTAGCTAAATGCTAATATGCTACAGCATTAGTCTTGAGCTGGTAAACACAAACATGCTAACAGTATCCTTCCTGATTAGCTAAATGCTAATATGCTACAGCGTTAGTCTTGAGCTGGTAAATACTAACATGCTAACAGTATCTTTCCTGATTAGCTAAATGCTAATATGCTACAGCGTTAGTCTTGAGCTGGTAAATACTAACATGCTAACAGTATCTTTCCTGATTAGCTAAATGCTAATATGCTACAGCGTTAGTCTTGAGCTGGTAAATACTAACATGCTAACAGTATCTTTCCTGATTAGCTAAATGCTAATATGCTACAGCATTAGTTTTGAGCAGGGTAAATACTAACATGCTAACAGTATCTTTCCTGATTAGCTAAATGCTAATATGCTACAGCATTAGTTTTGAGCAGGGTAAATACTAACATGCTAACAGTATCTTTCCTGATTAGCTAAATGCTAATATGCTACAGCAATAGTCCTGAGCTGGTAAACACTAACATTCTAACAGTATCCTTCCTGATCAGCTAAATGCTAATATGCTACATAGCCTGTGTCCTGAGCATCCTGAACTAATTTCTTCTGAAGTGACGCCCACCTGCTTGAGTTTTGCAGACGACACGACTCTTGGTGTTTTCACACTGGACTATCTTCCACCCGCCGCCGTCTCCCGCCATCATGACGGCACAGACGGGCTCGGACCTCGGTGTGGTGTCAGAATTCAGCTTTGTGTAGGACAGCGTGGARCCGTCCTGCCAGGAAACGGCTTTACCTGACAGGAAACGAGAAACGTTGTTTGGTTCCTTATAACGATCGTGAACTTCAACCTTTGGATTTTATTTATTTATTTATTTATTTTTTACCTTGAGGATCGAACTTCACGTCGAGCCACACCTGGTTGGTGATGAGTGGGTCGTCCGTGATGTGCTGGACCAGAAAATCGTTCTCCTCTTGGGTTTTGATGGTCAGGACCTGAGCACCTGCCAACAGGAAGTCGACGGTTTGTCAGATACGCAGACTTTAAATATTCTGTAAAATGTTTTTAAATCTGTTTTTTCTTCCGACCCAGCTCGGCGCAGATGCTTCTGGCCTGGTCCATCCTGTAGATGCTGTAGTTGTAGAAGCTCTCGTTGAATAAATAACAGTGATCCTGGTGCTGGACCCAGTTAGAAGGGCCCTGGTTCTGATGACAGTGATTGGCCACCGGGGCAGATTTCAGTTTGGCTCCTGAGAAGAAACAACAATCAGTTCTGATCCAAACCAAACTGGACCACAGAAAGATGGATCCAGTTTTCAATGAATCCAACAGGAATTTTATCAGACTTTTATTGGTCGTGGTAAAAAAAAAAAAGTCCACAGTCTTTCAGTTACGAAGTTTCAGGACATAAAACTGATGTAATCTGAAATCCTATAAAGACCAGATTCTGACCTGGAACTGTAAACCTGAATGAAGGTGGACTTCCTTTGTTCTGTAACTGAAAGTATGGAGCTAAATTGGGGCCAAAAYGTTTGTTAAATAAATTAAACTGAAAGAAAATTTTGAAACTGGTACAAATTTTTTTTCAAAACTACTTGTATCAATGTTTAATTAATGATGTATGGCAGGCCGCTGTATCATAATTTATAAATATGGCAGGTTGTATCGTAATGAACAAAGTACGGCAGTTCATTATGTAATTAAAGTATGGCAGGCTGTTTCATCATATAATGAGTTATGGCTGGTTGTTCAGTCATAATTTAAAAGTATGGCAAGCTGTTGTATCATAATTAATGTATGTTAGGCATGTTATAATTGAAAATATGGCAGGCCGTTGTAGCATATAATTTACAAGATAAGGCACGCTGTTGTATTATATATTTAAATAATGTGGCATGACGTATCATATAATTACAGATTTTTTTGTATATATACAGTTTGCTGCTCAGGTTTATGGCCCCAGTTTAGCTCCACAGAAAAGAACTCCTCTGTATGACGTCTCACTCTGGGAGGGGGTCGTGGTCTCGGTGATGTAGCAGAYGGCCCCGTCCTGTTCGGTTTTGCAGCTGGTTCTGACCCAGTCTCCAGCGGGGTTTATAAACAAACACTTGGCCTCGTGTGGGTCTGAGCTGGAACCTGACAGCGACTCGATGATGTTGGTTTTGTACTTGAGCTTCGTCCCGTCTGACCACTCGTACTCTGAGCCGCTGATCTGCACAAATAACAAYGCTGTCAACGTCTAAAAGGAAAAGTTTGGATTGTTTTTCTTGATTTGACAATAAACTCCTACATCCTGGTTGGAAAGGCCGATCCACAGCGGGAAGCCGTCCGTCTTTGCGATTAGCTTGAGATGGTCGTCTTGGTCTTTGTCATGGATGCTCGCCAAGTGACCGCCACGCTGACTACACTCCTCCAGAGCCGCGTACCAGCTCAGCTGTTTGGTCAGAACCTCGTAAGTTAAGCTTTTGTACGTCTTCAGATTACTGACTGACCGATTGTACTCCACTTTGGATTCTTTACAAAAAAAACAAAAAAACATTTTAGCCTCAGTGATGAGTAGAGTCTGAATCACGATATAAAAGAGACAGATTTACCTTTGTCCAGCTTGCAGACCACGATCGACTGTTGTCTGAACTCAGAGAGCAATCTTGAGTGTCTTGTGAGAACCCAGGAGCCGTCAGTGGAGAGACCAGCCATGAAGGGTCCGTTGAGAATCGGTCGGCCGTTGATCCAGTTGGAGTACTGGACGGTCGTTTGATCGTACCACTTTGTCAGGTTCTCTGGAGCAAAATAAAATCTGTTAAATACTGCTTCACACAAAGAAGAAGCCATAAGAGAACACCATCCAGAGCCGGTGCTGTCTTCTCATAACCAGAGTTCAACATCTGCTACCATTTAGACATCTTTTTCAGGGAAAGTTTTGCTTATTTCAGCAAGACAATGTTCAATCACAAACWGCATCCATTACAGCAGCAAAGCTTCGCAGTAGAGGAGTCCGATGCTGAACTGGCCTACCTGCAGTCCAGACCTCTCACCAACTGAAAACATGTGGGACATTAAGACCCAGGACTGTTGAACAACTAGAATCCTCCATCAGACCAGAATGGGACAACATTCCCTCCATAGTCCATGAAAATTATTCAACTTTTTAGTTTCAACCTTTGATATATTTATTACTTTCTATTGTGAATAAAATATGGGTTTGTGAGATTAACAAATTATTGGATTCTCTTTTACCTCCTGACTTTTGGGAAATTGGAGCAGTAGATTGAAATGGTAGAATTTTCTTCATTTTAGTTCTCAGTCTAAATAAAAAAAAATCAACAACTTACCCTCATCTTTGTAGATTCCCAGCCAAACAAACTTGACCAAACTCTCATACTGTTTGAGCTGGCTGGCGATGAAATTGTTCTCTTGCTGGTTTCTGATGGTCAGGATGTTTGATTGAGCATCTGAAACAAACACAGTCCATGACTTTATCTTCTGTTACAAACTGTGACCCTGGAAGAGTGCTGTCTACCTCTTACCAATACTTTTACAGGTTTGTGAAACCTGGCCTTTGTCAAAATTGTCCCATCTGCCCTTGGTGAGCTGGAAGGAGTAACAGTTGTTCCCCCAGGGGATCCAGTTTGGTCCTCGAATGGCATGAGGACATTTCACGGCAACATCTTCTGGTTTGGGGATGATCTCTTCTGCAATTAAAGTTGTTTAAACTAAAACAATAAACATCTATTGTTCCAGAAGATTTTWAACTTTTTCAACAAAAAGATGGTAAAATAACTCCTGAAAGCACTTTAACACTAACACTGTTCATAACAGTAAGATCTTATTTCTGTGACTTTATTAGAGTTAATAAAGATCACTAAGATAAATAAATACATTTAAACAGGCTTTAAGCTTGAAGTCAAAACTGTGAAAATAAGTACCGGTAGCTATTTTGAGAAAAAAAATGGGGGGGGAAAGGTTTTAAAAACCAAACAAAATAGATCAGAAGCTGGTAAAAACTTTTACAGGAGAGTGGTTTAAGCTACAATTTTGAGTTTTACCAGAGTGGTTTAAGCTGCAATTTTGAGTTTTACCAGAGTGGTTTAAGCTACAGTTTTGAGTTTTACAGGAGAGTGGTTTAAGCTACAGTTTTGAGTTTTACCAGAGAGTGGCTTAAGCTGCAATTTTGAGTTTTACCAGAGTGGCTTAAACCTGCAATTTTGAGTTTTACCGGAGAGTAGCTTAAGCTGCAATTTTGAGTTTTACCGGAGAGTAGCTTAAGCTGCAATTTTGAGTTTTACCGGAGAGTGGTTTAAGCTACAATTTTGAGTTTTACCGGAGAGTGGCTTAAGCTACAATTTTGAGTTTTACAAGAGAGTGGCTTAAGCTACAATTTTGAGTTTTACCGGAGAGTGGTTTAAGCTACAATTTTGAGTTTTACCGGAGAGTGGTTTAAGCTACAATTTTGAGTTTTATGAGAGAGTGGCTTAAGCTACAATTTTGAGTTTTACCGGGGAGTGGCTTAAGCTACAATTTTGAGTTTTACCGGAGAGTGGCTTAAGCTACAATTTTGAGTTTTACCGGAGAGTGGCTTAAGCTACAATTTTGAGTTTTACCGGAGAGTGGTTTAAGCTACAATTTTGAGTTTTACCGGAGAGTAGCTTAAGCTGCAACTTTGAGTTTTGCCAGAGAGTGGCTTAAGCTAAGGTTTTGAGTTTTACCGGACAGTGGTTTAAGCTACTGCTTTTATTTCTCTCAGAATTTAATTACTAATTAAAGCTTTTTATAAGCTTAAGATATTTTAAAACACACATTCATTGCAGATTTTCAAATACTTCTTTATGTCTTTAATTTTCATCAAGATGAATGAGGGACTAATAAATAATTATACTTGTTTGTCTCTTTTCTCTGAGTTTTCTTCTCCTTACTCACTGTGCGGTCTGTGACAGATGGCTCCTCCGAGCTCCTCCTCACATTCTGTGGCCTTCCAGAACCCGTCCGTGTCCAGGTAAACACACGAGCCGCTGGTGTGGTCCTCAGACCAGCGGCTGAACACTGTGTGACTGTGGTCGGTCCACCTGTAGTGAATCCCGTCCTGAAACAAAAACATATTTTAGAAAGCGTTGCACAAACACTGAATGGTAATAAAAGCGTTTCTTCTGGACACTTACGTCTTCGCTGAAGAGGCCGATCCACATGGGCGTTCGAGCGCGGCTCACGTGCACGCTCAGGGTGGACTGTACGAGGGCGTCTGCAACACTTGCCAGGTTCAGATTTTTCTTGTTGCACTCCTCCATGGCCTCAAACCAGCTCAGGTTCTTGGCGATGATCTGGAAGGTGTGGTTGTTGATGGTGAAAGACTCTTTGGGGAACGTCGGCTCCTCCACCTTATCTGGAATCAGAAAAGACAAACATCCTGCAGTGGAAGCTCATCTGTCTTTGTTGCTACTTTTAAGCAAAACATGCAGTTTTTATTTATTTTTAAGTGCTTTGTTTTCTGGAAATATTACAAAGGTATGAACATTCTGTAAATCCCAAATTTTTGTTTTACAGCAAGAGATGAATACTATACTATAAAAACTATTTTTATTGTTAGAAGAAAGCAAAACTTACCTGCATAATGTTGGCAAATGCCCAGGTTTTGTTGTTGTGCACAGGGAGAATAATCCCAGGTTCCCAGCAGGTTGGAGTTGGGATTATTGATCAAGAAAACACACAGGTCCCAGCTTTCTTTGTCAAGTCTCTAATACCAGATAAATAAAAAAGAACAATGTGAATTTTATCTCTAAAAATCAATAAGCCAATATCCAAACTAAATAGATGTCATCTTTTTAGCAGTAAATTAAAAAAAACAAACAAATGAAACTTCTGAAATGTGGATTTTATCGTTTTTCCAAATGATAAAATGTTCTAATTAAAACAAAACAGTCGGATCAGTA